GATCCGATCCGATCCGATTCACGTTCACATTCGCATCCACGTCCACCGTCCCCGGCGTACGTACGTTCATGTACGGCTTGGCGAGCAACAGCCCAAACCATCGATGATCGGTTGGTTTGACCATCGGTGCCGCAAGAGAAATTGCGGGGTAACGGCGAGAGGGAGGTGTCACCTCGCCGCCTCTCCACCTCACCGTTCATCCATCTCTGCAACCGACCTCTGAATTTAGCTCTACAAGTTTATTAAGGCGCACAGTTCGTAGTTCATATAAGTACCAAGTGCTGCACAGGCATTGCCACGTAGCAACTGCGCGATTCGCGCACAATCTTCACGACAGACATTGAAGATCTCCGATGCGCGATACCAGTTATCACCAATGCCTGCGATTTGGACCCTTAACGGAAAAGCAGCTCCCACGGCAATATATTAAGGAAATCGCGAGATCTGGACAATGTAACGCACTACCATGGCTAAGACTGTTGTGCACACTGTATATGACAATTCTGTTTACTTTTCTAAACGGATATTGCATGATATTACCCCCCTCCCGCCTTACCTTCTACCCCATTGTCCCACTAAACGAGAAACCAACAACTGATGATATGGAAGCACTGAAACGTCATCTGGTCGTTCCGTCGAACGTCTGCATGGTCATCGACCGTCTGTCAATTTCGGTGCAACATTTACGCAATGACTAGCTCATAAACATATACATGTATGCTCATGGGTGGTATACGGTTTTTATCAGACACCTTCTGATGAAGGCCATTTCCCTCACATCCACACAAGTAACTTCGCTTGGCTCATGGCCATTAGTTTCCCTCCCCGCAACTTTTGAACATCGTAACTGTACCTGACAAAAAGTGCTGTGCTTATGTCACAATTATGAATACTTGTCAACATAAATGCTATTCGACTGTGAATCGCAATCATATCCAATTAGAGCAGCTGACACAATTGCTTGCCGAATTATTTCAGTACTACACCAATCGCGTGGGCATGTATTTACATTGACATTTTCAAGATCTTGGCTAAACAATGATCACACCAACATTCGCATCCGCAAGAGCAACAATCTCATCTCTCATACATTCTACTATCACGACCTTATCTATGCAAAAATACACTGGCCTATCACCCCGTTGTCACCTATGCGTTTTTATTTTATTGAAAACAAAGTTTGAATGTTTTTAGCAGATAATGACTACTGATGATTATCATCATTCTTGACCACGCTCCTACCTCATTCGTTGTTGACAGATAATCTGCCAAACTCCACCCCACACAGATCAGATGAAAACCTGGGACATGAATTATAATTCAGAGCGTCTAGCTCTTGGTCAAATATCGGACCCGTTGATATTTACGTCAACCAATGCAACAACGACATGGCTAATACTATCTATAGGTCTGACTGACCTCATTCGGAGAAAATAGCAACTGCCGTATGATTCCGTCGTAACTTATGTACTCTGCCTCAATTTAGAATTACCCTGATGCAGTGTTCTCCTCAAACGTAAGGTGCGAAGTTCTTACCAACGAACCAAACCATTTTCCTAAAAGTGCAACCATGCTAATGTAAATGAATTTGAAGTCCATGATGCATGCCATCCAAATTCTTTCAGGACACTGTACCATCGTTGAATGGGCATCAGGTTGACGTTGGTGCCGCCGGTCGGTGAAATCTACTGAATAGTGCATATGAGCCATCATTCATTTGAATTTGCAGCTGTAGAACAGGTCCTCTTGCGAATCACTGGTGTACTTTGCGGCCAATACCGTGCTTCAAATTCTAATGTTAATACTTCGTTATTGGATGATAGTGTGACGCCATGAACTATTTCAGCGGCAGGCCCAAATGGCAGTTTTCTTTTTTCAATCTCTCATGAAGATCAGTGATCCTGCGAGTTCTTCCTCTGCAAATTACTCGTGGTTAATTTTTACAGACAACAGCCTAAACTAGCCTGATGAACATGGGAGCAAAAAGATATTGCTCAAAGTCACATAAGCATTCGCTCTCCCGCCAGACTTTTTCAAAAGCTAGTGGAAAGATGATTGATTGTTTCAGTATCCAGAATAATTATTTTTACCCTGAGAGTGATGTAATGCCGAGCTCTCCAAAGTTTTACTCAAATCAGCTCTGTTGTATCTTGCATTCATGGCGTCACTAACTTCGCAGTGCTTCCTACTAATTTCAGAGCTGTCAAATGACCATTCGGATTTTTGATTTTTCTCATATTAAACTGAAACTCCTTTCTTTTCAGTACAACAAGGCAGGGATGCCGAAGGAAAGACTCGCAAGGCGGACTATCATAGATTCTTACTGCATATGGCTATCGGCAAAAAAAGAGAAATGACCGAACAGAGGAACTGAACACCTGAAATTGCTTGACTCGGAATTCAGCCTGTGTAACTTCTCAGAATAGCGGAGAAGCAGATCCGTTAAAAAAGATTTGAATTTGAAATGTGTGTTCATTAGGTTCGAATTCTGAGCTTGCTATCAAAGGGCTCAAAACTGAGTTTGAAGATGAAACCGCCTTTGCTGAGGTCAGTTGTTATTCCTTTGTTCATCTGTGGTCATGAGTCGTGGGCCATGATCTAAGTACTACGATTCCAGGTGCAAAAAAGTAAAATGGGCTTTCTGAGGCGAAACGCTGGCCTCATGAGTCTAGTCATGATCCGGAGTAAAGATGTCTGATGGAGTTTTGATGTACAGCATCTGCTTCTCCAGATTAAGAAATTTCTGAAGCAATGAGTGCTTTCACAAAAGGCAAGACATCTACCAATTGCTCAACCAACCTGCTGAAGACCAGGAATGAAGCACGCCTCTACCAGTCGCTCACGAGTCTCTGGCTATCTTCTATCAAAGCCCAAATTCTGACATAGAGTTGAAAAAGATGGGGACACCTGAAAAGACGCGCGGCCATTGAAACTGACTTACGTACTGAAAAAATGTTTATTACAATTTATATTGACCCCACGTTTAGGAGTGGCATGTAACCTGTTAACTACTCGCTAATAATCATAATAGACAATTGAATAAAATGTTAGCCTGTATTGTCAACCGATTTCTGGGGATATCGCAGTAATTACATTGAGGCACTAAAACGGAGTGTATTAAAGTGTCCATCATTTAATGTGGCGGAATGTGCAAATAAATTTGAAGCATTATTCCTAATTAAATTTCCATTTACTTCTGGCCTACGTAACGGTCGTCCTCTAACAGTATTTAACGCATAACTTTATATGTGCAAATATAGCACATATTCATATCGAAATTTAGCTGCATGAATTCAATCTGTTCTTTGATCCTTTTAAAGGTGTATTTACCTTTCTTGACTTCTGTTCCAAAGCAGTTTAATTTTCCTGTCAGAAAACACAAGTAAGCCGCTTTTATTTCTGAATCCATGCAGTTACTGACGTCATTCCCGTACCTTCCGTTTTTTTCTTATTGATCCCAACAATTACAACTCGTGGTAGTATTTACAGTGCGCAAAACCTGTTGTTCATGTGTTTGATTCATTAGCATTCCTGTTTGTACATGTGGTTCATTGGAATGTTTCATGAACCTTGTCTGACGGTCAGCTGAGAATTATCCTACCGCATGTGGAGTTGCGAGTTGTTCTGCCTTGTGAGTGTTGTTCAGTCGTTAATTCCGAGTCTATTGCGTTCTCACCTGACGTGGTATCGCGTGAAAAGGCAATAAACCTTGTAGGGGGTCAAGTGCATCATCAACACAATCGAACAACGTTCAAATGCATGCTGTCCATCGCTCGCTCGGCCAAAAGCGGCCAAAAGCCAGGCGACAGCTCGTTCCTTTGCGAAACATCGATATCGACAAAGGCACTGCCGCTAGCAACTACGTTTGCCGTCTTCTCTTCTGAAACTTGGATCATGAACAGCCTGTTTCACAACACTCAATCTATCGATCTTGCTGGAACTCATCGACGCCAACGGCTTCACCGGCCAGCAACTGCACTTCTGGACTTCGAAAGAATATTCGACTCAA